ATCAATTTTATAGGTTTCAACTTATTATTTTTGGACATATAATTAAAATCTATGTATGCAATGCAACTCGTTACTAAGTCAAAATAAGTGTTGTTTTGCAATCAGTGTGGGTTATGTTTCCCGTCGATAAGATATATATGAAGCAAAGAGATAAAATAGTGTAAGGCTCTAGTTAGAGTTCACGACATAGAGGGGGGCCTCGACCTAGCCTCTGATTTTTTAAAAAATATTATTTTTTTTCCACTCTCACCTTTCATTTTGTTTTAAGTTAAAAAAAAAAACCTTTCATTTTGTTACATTACAAGAATTGATTTTATGTTCCTAATATTAATCTATCCTCCACTAAATATCAACCGTATTACGCTACATATTAATATGTCGTCACTGGTATTAAGATTATTATAAAATGCACTAATTTATATATGGAATAATTGTAAAAATGTCACTTTTGGTTTGTCTATCTTAAAAAATACCACTATGGATTGTACATTTTAAAAATGTCATTAACTAAAGATTTTTAAAACCTAAATTTTCAAATTCTAACCCCTAAAAAATGTTTTGACCCATAACAAACTTTAAACCCTCAAAACTAAAATCTAATACAACATAGTTAACCCAAAATATATTGAATAAATGATTTTGAAAAAGTGGTATTTTTTTAAATAATATTTAAAAAAATGACATTTCAAAATTGACATTTTTCAAAAATTCTCTTTATATAACCAAATTGCGGTGATGCAATATAGAAAATGTAGATAGTGTATTACTGGCTAAGCCGGGAACTCGGATGATCAAAGATTCAAAGATACAATGACACTGCACTTAGACTTGTCACTGCAATATTATTAGAACCAAATAGATAATTAGAAAAAAGTCTCAACAATTTTTTTTTAAAAAGAAATTGAACGAGAAGTTTGGTTTCGACGTTTGGCCTATACGCAATCCATCATTATTGGTCATGCATAATCGTATATACTTTTGGTAGGAGACTATTTATATGAAAGAATATAACATTCCACCAATTTCTTGATCAAGAATTAATGTTGAAAGTGTTATAGTACAAACGATATTACTATTGTTTCCCCACTTTTCGTATTCATTATGACGCAGTCAATCATTCAATTCAATTAATATTGC